AATTCTGATTATCTCACATACTTAGATCTAAAAGACTCTAAAGGTCTTAAGCTAAAATTTGATTATTAACTACTTTAATAAAATCAAAAAGCATTAAAATTTTCACAAAATTTTTTACGTGAATCTTTAGATTTAGCTTATCTACAGCTTCTTTACTAATTTTATAATACCTTTTCAGATTAAGATATTTTAAATTAAGACATAAACTAGCAATTTCTTCAATTGTTATATTAGTAATTTTACAAAATCTAAAGTCGAGTTATTAGAGCTTTAGACAAGAACGAATAATATTACAAATTGTTAGTTCACAAATATCTGTGCGATAAGAAATATTTAGATATTCTAACTTATAGCATGATAGGATAATTGTATATAGACCTTCATCAGTTATTATACCTATATTACTGGATATATATTTGTTCTTTTGTAAATTAAGATACTTTAAATTGAGATATAATTCTGCTATTTATTTTAGTATTTTGTTGCTAAATCCTGTGATATAATTGAAATCTAAATAAATTATATTTGAAAACAAGTACACCAATGCCATTGAATTTTTTTATCTAAAAGTAGGTGGTAATGTGAAATTTTCAGATGAGTTAGATTTGAGCTATAAACTAGCTTTTGTCTTCTACGCACTATTTTCATAACTTTTTCAATTGAGAATAATGTGTGTCATTTTCCTTTAGCTTAACACATTTTCATAGAATAGGGAGCATTAAACCTGTACCAAAGCTGTCAAACAAATAGAGTAGGATATAGTGACATATCTACTGCTAGAAAATATAGAATCCACTCTAATAGTTCTGTAAATTTATAACACCCAAATAATGTATGTTATATTTTTAGCAAAAAATAAAATTATACATATTGATGATCACTACTTTAGATAATCATTATTCTGCATTAAGTTTATATTTTACTTCTTTGAATGAGATCACAAAATTATCATTTAATAATAGTTTTGAATCACATATATCTAAAGTTGCACTATTTTCTTGAAAATATAACATTTCTAATCCTAAATCAGAATAATAATCAGGCCAATCCAGTCCAAGAACTATGAATTTAATAGATATACTTTTATGCTTTTCGCCATCTTTAAAACTAATATACAGATTGACCTTTTCTAATATAGAATAAGATCCAGCTTTATCCTAACTTTTTACTTGAGAATTACTATCATTTTTTTGTATGCCATTTTCATCAATACACATATCAATTGATGCTTCAATAGGAATATTTTCTTTGACTACACAATTCACGAATACCATTTTATTATGATATATATAATATTCAAATATAAAATTAAACATCTATTTAACATTCAATAAGATAATCAAATAATCATGCAAAGTGCCTAATTTTTTGAATCCCTTTAGCTCAGCCCATTTTAAATTACCAACTGTTTAACCTTTTTTGGTTATATCTTCCTTCGTTACTTATGAAATATAGCCTCATTTTCTCTTATCACAATTATCTTGATTAAATCAGATTCTTCAGAAGACTCAAACAAATAGAAGAAACCCTTACCTTTTTTAGCAATTATTAAGAAAACTTTTTCTTGTATTAAGTCGACCACAGTTTCCATATCTACACATTTGTTTAGTTTTACACATTCGTTTAGATCTTTGAATTCAGTTTCTAAGGACTTTATATCTCTCTCTAATTTTTTTACCATCTTTTCTAAAGTATTATATTAGGAATGATAATCTTCTAATTGTTTATTTAATACCTTATTTTTACCAGAAAATGCACTATAAACCTCTGCATTTTGCTTATCTAATCCAAATGCCTAAACTAATATTTTCGTATATTTAATAACTTCCTATTCTCTGGATACATCAGATAAATGATTTTGATCAGTTATCATTTTACGATATTTTATATGGTATATTTTACCTCAAGTGAAAAAATAGCAAAGTACCTTTGGAAAATTATGCGATCATGTAAAGTGTCTCTCAACCTGCTCCAGATTAGCATTTATTTCTGAATTTTAACGATCTAAAATCATGAGTTTTTCTTTGAGAGTTCCCAAAGAGGTCAGGCTACTTGGTCTTTTTTTTCAGTTTATAGAATTTAACTTTCATTTTTTCAGATAAACTGCATTCAGATATAACTATCTCCTCTACTTCAGATTCAGATGAACTAGACTTAGATGATTCGATCATAGAATTGAATAATAAAATGCTTTAACCAGATCGTAAAATACGTCTGAAATAATATTATTCAGATATTTTCTAATTAAATCAATACTGGCATTAGTGCATATAATTATTTTAGCCATTGTCATAATCGCTGATATTGCGTTCTCTGTATTTTTAAAAAAGTCATACATAATCAGAACTTGTACAAGATCATTAATATATTCTCTTTTATATATATTATAGATTAGATCATTTTGAAATCTATTATTAGTTAAATGTTCAGCTATCTTTTTCTATAACTGAATATTTATTACATCAGAAAAAAATCTAATAATTATGTAAACTTTGTGACTTCTCTTCTTCATCTTGTATATAAGTACTGTATTACTAGTCTAGCCATGGTAGTGACTTAGATATGATGATTTCAGTTACAAAATAAACAAGTGAAGCGTACATTCCCTTTGATATGCTTTAAACTATTGTAAATTCAATCTACTATCTACTGAGATATCTCTTGGCTGATTCCATTCGAATTTTATTTCAATAAAACATAATATGCATTTGTCTTTTTGAATACATTTTAACATGAGGATATAATCAACTGTTAGATCGAATTCACAACCCTTTTTCTTGTTCTAGCTCATATATCCAATAAGTTTTTCCTGAATAGATGGTCTTAATTCATGCTCTAATAATTTTTTCTTTTTTACCTCTTCAATCTCTTGCATAATTTTAGGTAATAGAAGAGTTTTAATCTAAATAAGCTGGCTCAAATATTCTATATAACCAACTGCTAAATATATTAGATTATCTTAAGCTAAGTTTTCATCAATGACCCAAACACATAGTAAATCCTTAAGTATCATTCCTCGACTAATGTAAATAGTTATAGCATATCCAAATTTTCAATGTATAACTTTTTTATCTGCCAACATATCTTTTAAAAATTTGTCAAAAAGTATATTTAAAGGCATGTGTATTATATCATTTTTCACTAGTTCCTTTTTTTTCAGATGAGTCAGGGATTGGAACAAGACAATTTTGTTTGCATTCATCTCTTAGCCTATAAATTAATGGAATTGAAACTTCAGGATATTTTTTTTGATAAGGTTTTAAGCATTTTTGTGAAGCAATTCTTCAGAAAAGTAGATGTGCTGACAAAATACAGTCTGAAGACTTCCATTCAGCTTTAAAATATTTCCATTTTTCTGTAACTGGAAGTGCTTTACAGAATAGGTCTAACTGTACTCTATTATTTTGACATCACATTTTTTTTTAAGCTCTTGCAGTCTAGAGCATTTGGTCTGATAATCAGTCAAAATTTTCTCATAGTAATCAGCTTGCTCTTTTAATCAGTCATAAAACATTTCTCCAAAAAATGGTAGAGGTTGAGTATCATCCTCACAACAGATTATCTAGCATTTCTGCTCTAACAAATAGTTAATAAACATTTCAAAAATATGCCTAAACACTGTACATATTTCATTCCAGATAACGACTTGCAGGAATTTCTTTTCTCCCATACGTTCAGGAGTCCACTTTCTTATACCATTCCATTTAAAGAAGCTATGCTAAGTCTGGGTTTTTACCTTACAGTCATTTTGAAAGTCTTTGACCAGTGCATTTGTATGAGTAAAGACTACCATATTTATATCTTTAAAGATTCAGATTGCGCATGTTATCTTTCCAGAACTACCACTTCTATTGAGATATAAAACTCGAAATCTTGTAATAGGATCATGAATTGATAGAGCAATACTTTCAGTAATATTTTTAATTGATTCCCAATGTCTATTTTTTGGCCAGTATATAACATTTGGATCTGGGCCATGAATTTTCTCTCTTTTATCACTCTATTGGCCAGGCTGAATTTCTCAAATCTTTTCTTTTAAAGGCTCAGATACTTTAGTAATGGCTATACTAGTATTGTAAGATGACTTCTTATCAGAGATAACTTCCCCAAAACCTTTACGAGCATACCAATCCCAAAAGCAGTTATGATAAACAAATGGTTTATGTTTGCTACATGGAAAATATTCTCCTTTCACTAAAAGCATTTTAGTTTTTTGGAATTCTTTAATCGATTTATAAATGATGGGCTTTCACACACTGCACATGGATGCCAGTCATGTGGATATATAAATTTACTAATATTTGCTGAATTTTTGGAATGACTGCCCTTGCAAGCGCTTAAACGGCTAGTCTTTTGCTTAGCTTGCTTGAAGAAGGCAGATACATTTTCGATCTTATACAAAGCCTCTTTTCGTATATATATAGAATTGGTGGCAATTCTTACCACTTTATTAGAACTAAATCTTCAGAGCATTTCAAGTAGATTTATATGGGCATATGTCAACATCGAAGCCCATAAATGTGTATATTGGGGCTGGTGACCTTCGTAGTATGTGAGTATATGTCCAAGCGGACATTTATCACTACCTGCATATGTTCCCTCTTTAATACAATCCTGGATTAAGAAATCGAGCTCAATTTTCTTTTAACTAATTTTTTCCGCACGTGATAAGCCGAGACGCGTAAATTGTCCAATGAAATTTGTGAATGCCGCCTTTATAATCACTATACCGATTGAGAGACGAGAGACTATAGTGTAATCTTTCATAAGATAAAGATTTTTTAATGAATAACATACTACAAATTATAATTAATTTTAATAATATTATTTATTGATTTATTTAAGTACAATGAAAAGCATTCTAATGAAGTAAATGCTAATATGAAAAAAAATTAAAAATCAAATTTCAATGAATGATAAAAAATTAAGATGAATTTCTATGAGAAAAAAAAAATTACAAAACATTACAACTACGTTAAAAGAAATTTAAATTAAACTAATTAGATAACGACTGCGACACCACGTTGAGCAACTTTATTCTTATCTTCTTTCTTAGCATTTGCATTAATTATGAAAAGTAAATCGCTTCGATCTTCATTAAGATAAACTGGAAGTTGAACCGTTTGATCATTAATTTCAATTGCCTCACTCTTTAAGACCCATCGAATTTGTGATTCTTCTAATTTGGTGAACGGTGATGGAACTAATCCCACTTGATTATTTTTCCACTCAGCACCTGAATTAATTTGAAATTAATATAGTCAGTAAAAGTCATGTTAAAAATTCATTAATAAATTTTTACTCATCATTTACATACCAGCAAGCTTTAATCCTGTAATGACAAATGAATC